CGTCGCAGGGGTGCGCGCTTCCGCCTGGCGCGGCTCCCGGGCGGCCCTGGCTGGGTCCTGAGCGTCCCGAGCGCGTTCCGGGAAGGTGACTCAGCGACGCGCTCCAGGGTCGAGAAACTCCGTACAACTTAAGAACGAGGGGAAGGAGCTGGGGCGTCGTCACCCTCTCGCGGCGCCGCGGCCGCGGTCTTGAACGTCCGGGCCCCCCACCCCCACTCCCCAGGAATCCGGCGCGGGGAGGGGAGGGCAGCGCTGCAGCCGCAGTGCCGTGGTCACGCGATGCGGGGACGCGAGCGGCGGCGGGAGGGGGAGCCTCCGTGCGGGAGCCAGAGGGCCAGATCCAGCCCACCCTCCCCTCTTCCTCCTCCCCTCCCGTCTTCCCCTCCAGTGAAGGCTAGGGTCGAAGGCTGGATTGGGCGCCTGGAAAACGCGGGACGCGGGGCGGTGCTCCCCGAGATCTCAGCCTTGGAGGGAGGTGGCTGCGGAGAAGGCCAGGGCAGCCTCCCCCTCTCCCCCGCGCGGGAGGGCACCTCAATCAGGCATGAAGAGCCGCCGCTTTAAACCTTGGAGTCCGGTGGGAAACTGAGGCACAGGGAAGGGAAGACCTGGCTGTGCAGGAGTCCGTGGTGAGAAAGCTCGCCTGCTCCAGGGTCCCTCTCTTCCTTCCAGCGCCCCAGGCTGGAGCCCCTGGGAGTCGCAGGGCCCGGCGGGGGCGGGATTGACCAGAAAGCCTGCGGGCGAGGGGAGGCGGGGCAGCCTGCTGGCTTCTTTATCCGGCCGCCGGGGGCCCAGTGGGAGGGAGGTGAAGGGCAAAGCCCTCTGGCCCCGGTTCCAGTCTGCACAATGGCTCCTCTGTCCTCCCTGCCGCCTCTTCCCCTGCCCCCCTCACCTCCACGGTCTCTGCTCTGCCCCCCTCATTCTTGTCATTCACCTCCTGGTTCCCAGGCTCCGTCTCTTCAGGCCCGCACTGACCTCCAGCCTCTCTCTAAAGAACCGTATCTATTTCCAGCAATTCACCCATCAGTATCCCAGGCTCAAGAGACAGGATTGGGCAAGACCACGATGCTTGTGGCCCTTGGACAGTTGGGGGAACCGAAACCCTGGGAGGTGAAGGGTCTTGCCCAAGCTGCGGAACCAGTTCTCAACGGAGCTGAGAAGCGGGCCCAGGAGTCCTGCCCCCAGCCTGAGACACTGAGCCCACCCCAGACTTCTCGCTGATGGTTGAGTGTCCGTTGACCCGGTAGGTGGCTTGCCACAGAGCTTGCCCCCATGCCCCCGCTGTGCAGGGTCTCCCAGAGCAAGAGGAAACATCTTGAAGCCCTCTCCAGGCTTCCTCCCCCATGTCCTGATCAAGCAACTAGACCCTGTGCCGAACAGGTCCACCGTGGACCTGGCCTCCGGCTTGATCTGACCTGATTCCCGGCTCGCCTTGAAGATAACACCTGTCTCACAGGTGAAAGAGACCGCCTTTCTGTCTCTCCCAGCCACCCCCTTCCTCCTCATGGACAGCCCCCTCCCCAGGGAGACACACCTGAGAGCTCCTAAAGCAGGAATTTACTGGGCCTGGCTCCAGCTCTCTGGAAACTTGGAGCCAAGGCCGCCCGATGGCAAACGACTTGCTTTTATTAGGATAGGATTCCCGCCATCCCACCGTTCCCTGAAGCAGTCCTCCCTGGGAAGTTTCAGCTCCCAAGCTGAGTTGCAGAGCCTCCGGCCTCCCTTGACCTTGAGTCCTTTCTGCCTCGGAGGCTGCAAGAGCAGGGAAGAGTTTGTCCGTCCCTGCAAACTCTTCTTCAGACTCGTGTTCTAGAACAGCCCCAGATGTGGCTTTCCATTCTGAGAGTTTCCTAGACGCTGCTGACCGTGCCAGGCGTTGGGGGGTGGCGGGGTGTGCCACACGTGGAGATCCAGGAGGGCAGACTGGTCACGCAGGATTCTTGGTTGCTCCCAGGGAGTGTTCAGAGTTTCTGTTTCTGCTGTAGCTCGTCGACTCTGGGCGTGTGGTGCGGTCAGCCTCGCTCTACCTTCTGCGTGGCCTTCTCGTCCTCCTGGGTGTCCTTGCTGGGGCTGGGAGCACAGGTCTTGTCTGGGCTCTGCCTTCCACCCTCACCTGCAGGCCTGCCGATTCTAGCTCGCTGACACGGTCATTAGCCTCCGGAGCCCCCTCAATGTGGCAGCCTGCGGGCCATGCCCACTCCGCTCACTTTCGAAGCCTGCCCAGCAGCTGAAGGCCGTTCTGTTAGTTTCTTGGGGTCATTGTAACAAAGTGCCAGGAACCGGGTGGCTTGCCAGAAATCTACCGTCTCACAGACGTGGAGGCCCAAGTCTGAGATCAGTATGTTGGCGGGGTCAGTTCCTTCTGGGGCTCTAGGGGAGGATCTGTCCTAGGCCAGTCTCCTAGCACCGGTGGTTGGCTGGCAAGCTTTGCTGTTCTTGGCTGGGCGATGCATCACCGCATCTCTGCCTTCATCTGCCCTTGGCCTTCTCCCGGTGAAAGATTTGGCTGAATCTGTTCCTTAGGGTCTGCGTGATCTTCTGTGGAAGTGTTCTTTTGCAAATGCAAATTGCTCTGGGAGGTCCAAATTGCATTAGGACTCTAGTGTGAACTAATTGTTTCACATTTTCAGTAAAAAAAATGTGCACATACGAGGTGTCCTGAAAAAGGGACACGCTCATGTGGGTGTTGGAGGAAAGGGGTGTCTGGAAGCCGGACCTACCCTCCTCCCTGCACTGTCAGGGAGCGATCTGTTGGGAGGGGTTGTTTATGTCTGCACAGGCTGCCACACATCCTTGCACGCCCAGGCTTGCACACTGCTCCCTCGACTTTCAGATCTCGCCTCGCACCTTGACTTATGGTGTCTTTGGCTCCCTGAGAAGATGCGTTTGTTCCCCAGTCCTTGGAAGAAGAAACTGAGTTGTGTGTTAGCATATTGGGTTCCCATTGATGCCCAGATTTATTATCTTACCGCTCCAGAGGTCAGAATTTCAGATGGATCAGCAGGGCTGCGTTGCCCTGCCTGTTCCAGCTTCTAGAGGCCACCTGCATTGTTCGGCTCAGGACCCTCCCTTCATTCCAAAGCCAGTGGCACAGGACTTCAGATCTGTCCGCATTACTTCCGTTGTCTCATCTCTGACAGACTTTCCTACCTCCGTCTTCCTCCTAGGAACCCTGTGATTGCATTGGCCCCACCCACATAATCCGGGATAATCTCACCCTTCTAGAGCCTTAATGTAGGGCTTCCTAAGCATCCGCAAAGTCTCTTTTGCCATATAAGGTAACATATTCACTGGTGCCAGGATTATGACCTGGACATTTGGGGGGCTGTTATTCTGCCAACCACGGATGAGGAGGGGAAGTCTGGGAACTGTGTCCTTTCTTGGCTACGGAACGTTCTTCTTTTTTTTTTTTTTAATTTGATTTTTTTGAAGATTTTATTTATTTGAGACAGAGCACACAAGTGGGAGTGAGGCAGAGGGAGAGGGAGAAGCAGACTCCCCTGCTGAGACGGGAGCCCGATGTGGGACTCGATCCCAGGACCCCGGGATCATGACCCCAGCTGAAGGCAGATGCTTCACGGATGGAGCCACCCCGGCGCCCTGGCAATAGAACTTTCTGACATCCCCCATGTCCCCCAGCACTGCCAAGCGAACACAAGCCAGAAGCTTGCTTTCCCCTGCTGGCGTCAACACGTGATTCTGTCGACTTCTGTGGGTAGAGGTCCCTACGAAGAAAACCGGTTCCCAATTCTAAAAATTACCCAAGAGAGAGAAATTGGCATCTTGGCTAAATATAGTCATTCCAGAATTTCAAAACCCCAGCTTTTCACCTGAGGAAGGGTTGGGAAGCTGACCAACCCATCCTCTTTCGGCCTGGCAGAATTCCCCACTCAGCTTTGCAGGAAGGGTTTGCCACAGGGCGCGGGCCCCCTGGGTACCGAAAGGAAGTGTGTGGCCCTCTCAGCTCATATCATGTGATCTGGCAGTCCCTCCTCTGTGGTAAGGCTGAGCCAGACCAGCCACACAGAAAATCGTGGCTAGGAACATTCCACAGGCTGTCGCTGACCTCAGCTCCGGTCTGAGCCTAAAGCAGCCCCTGGCCTGGTCTCTATTGCCCAACCCTACATCCTGGATACTTGCGAGGGCAGAGAGTGTCCCTTTCTGAGGCCCCAGCCAGCCCTCCATCCCACCCGACTATGCCCACTTGCTCATTTGCCCTGGTTTGGAGACCCCGGGCACCCAAGGGAAGAAGGGCCGTGCCAAACTGCCTTAGGCAGTTCCCCAAAGGAAAACTTGTGGGCATCAGGAAGAAGGCCCCGGCACCATCGTGGGGGAGCAGGAACGCAGAGCAGGCAGCATCCGGGCCAGGGGGATGGGTGTGTCCACAGCTTTCCGGGGGCTTGTTGT